TCTCTCTCTCTCTCTCTCTCTCTCTCTCTCTCTCTCTCTCTCTCTCTTTCTCTCTCTCTCTCTGGTCACCCAGGTAGAGATGTGCTCGCCACGGATCGGCCACCTCCTGGCGCTGTGCTGCGACGCGTTCACCAAGGAGCAGCTCTGCAACCTGGAGTGTCTCGTCCTTCTCCGCCTGAACTTCCGGCTCACCGCGCCCACGCTGGCATTTTTCCTAGACTATTACGCCAACTGCGCCGAAGCGGCACAGTTTGAGGCCAAGAGCGCGGGCGGCGGCAGGTTTGCGCGCACGTATCCAGACGCAAAAGGACCCGGGCGGTCTGGCAACCTCGCGCGCAAGGTGTGCGAGTTGAGTCTGGCGGACTACGCTTTCAACAAATACCCACCGTCCCTGACCGCTCGCTGCGCGCTGTGGATAGCCGGTGAGTTACTGGAAGGTGAGCAGGAGGACCAGGGGGTCGGTTTTGTGGCCGAGCAGTGTACCCAACCATCCGAGCGCCCCGAGATCTGTGAAGTGGACTCTCCAGAAGCGAAGGACCACTTCCTGTCCCTGTTGACTCAGGGGAGCCGCAACCACAATCTGGCCCAGGAGTGCAGGGACAACCTGAGACTGCTGGTGTCGTTAAACCAGGAGTCACTGGAAGTGATGTCTGCCGTGTGATGTGTGCGGATGTGAAAAGGCCAAATCCCTCCCTAAACATTGGGGGGTTTATTCTAGGGGTTATTTAGAGATGTGTCAGAAGTGAAGTCTGGTGTTTATGCAAACCCGCCGCATGCATACTCATAGACAGTCAGTCGGTTGAACTGAATGAAAGTTTTACAACATTGCGTTTGTATTTATTTTACACATAGGCCTTTGTTTATCAATGAAGTACATTAATATATTCTGTTTATTTTTTTATATAATTCCGAATCAAAGTCATTGTTTACTGTGTATATATGCTGCGAGTTTACGGGATGTGTTAATGTTGCAACCTCTTTCATGAAGGACCTGTAAAAAATGCACTCATTATCATTGCTTGTTTGTATTGTAATAAATAAATGATCAGTAAATTATTTCGTGTTGGTCTCTTGAATGATCATAAGAACGTGAAGCCATAATCCACACCCACCAGGAGGCCTTTTTCATTATTTGAATTGAAATATGTGAAGTAAGTGTGTCGTGGAGACTGACTGGATGACATGAATGACAAAATCATGCAATTTGACGAAATGCACCAGTGCATGGCAGCTTTATCTGGATTGGATGCGGGCAAAGCAGGGGTTTCTACCCACTGTGGCATAAATTACTCTGTTTAACACTAAACTACAAGACTGATATGGATCTAAATTTGAGGTTTAAATCCCTCTTTAGGGTCAACAGCATAAATAAACACATTTCTCACCATATAAGGGACCTTAGTGGCCTATTGTCGCTGTTTGCCTGGAGGTCAGTTTACCCACGTCTTTACTCACCGTTGCATCATCATTTTGAAACTGACCTGTGCCAACACAGCCTGGCCAATAGAGGTTCCTTTCTCTGATAATCCATTACGCGTGGCATATTGGCCTGCTGACACAGTGTCGACCACACAGGTGCATTCAGCGTTAAGGGTCAACCAGGATCACTCTTGTTTGTTTACTAATAGAAGCATTTGTCACCAGTGTTTGCTGAGCTGTCTGCCGTAATTGCCCTTTTCCTTTTTTTTCACTTTGCGACAGGCCTTGACTTAATTCAAGTATTTTACGCACAGCTGGATAGAAATTACGCACTGGACGATAGGGCCATATTAACAGGCTGGTCTTCTCTTATGAGGACTGCAAACAAAAGCTAAAGATTTTATAAAAACGGACATGGTTCTATATGTCCGCGCAAGGGGAATATGTGCCCGCATGCGGGAGGGAGCACGTCTGACGCAGAGAGCACCTGCTGTAATGGCGCCGTTCTGCGCGGCACCACTTTACACTTCAGACGACGAAAAACCGTTTGTCTGCACCAATTTTAGTCTCCGAGGACGCCTGTTGCTCCCTGGAGACCGTTTAAGTGCATTTGATTGGTGCCGAGGACGCGGTATGGAGAGGCACAAACCGGGAGAATTCCGTCTATAAATCAGCTCTGAATCAAACAGTGGTCCCTTCAGTCCTGCAGCCAGAACCGAGCCGATGGAGATGCAAAGAGACAGGAGGGTGTTTGGTGCAACGCGCCCCAACCAACGGAGGGCTGCGGGAAACACAAGGGTATGACATATTTCCTCTTGACAATGATGCATATAATTCAGCTCCGTGTAGCGGCGTTAACAGACTCTCTACCTGCAGGACAAGCTGGTGCCAAGGAGCAGCAGCCCGGTCAGTGTGTACGTTGGGCTCCCATGCGTCATTGAGCAAGGTATGCGCATCTCTATGATTGTGTTTCATGCAACAATAGCGCGTGACGGCACGTGCACATAAATGGTCCATGCTTGAATCATGCAGACGCACTTTACTTGTGTTATAGCTTTTTCAACAATCTCGTGGGATGATTTGGAGGACTGCGCGTCCGCGGTGAGACGGGAGAGCGACTCCCTCAGCTCTCAGGTGAGTTTAGAAAAAAAAAATATATATATAACTCTTCAGTGCCAGAAAGACATGTCTTATTCCTAATAAGACGTCCCGTGTCTTTGTGGCGCCAGATCTGTTATGTAAATCCACGACTTTAATTAACGCACAATTAATAACGTGCCAGAGAGAGAGATGATGGCGGCAGATAAGGTTGTTAATGTTTGACGCGATGTGCTGGAATTCTGCACGAATGAGATCGTTTACTCGTGACACACCATACCGCTAATTGGCAGGACCTTCCACGTTTTGGTCCACGAGCCGCATCTTTGGCACAGTGCGTCCAAAAAACACACACTCACGAGACGGCACACTTCACTGAAATGAGCACCCAGACTTTTTCTGCCACACGGCCACATCGCGCCGCTTGGTCGTGGTGGGACTACCAGGTTTGGGGGCAGTTGTGATTTCCATGTTGGCTCAGACTTTTTAATCCGTGTGATGTATATTAATCGTCTATTTGACTCGCCCTCAGGTGAACGAATCTGATGGAGATGACCAAGACTTTGGAGATTATGCGCTGGATTTCATGGCAGGTGAGTGACACAAAGCAAGTCTTCTGCTGTGGATTTGCAAACATTTACATCTAAGCCTTGATAGTGTGTACTACAATAATAATAATACTAATATTAATAATAATAAATACTCAAAAATAAGACATGCTGACTAAACCTTGGGGTGTTTGTCTCCTCTGTCAGATTCTCCTGCCACCCTGGAGAGCAGTCTGTCTCCAGCTGAGCTGGTACCATTCCAGGGATGCGTCCTACCCCTCCTCACCCCTCAGTGGTGCTTCTCTTCAGGGGCTGGTCTGGTTTACTCTTCCACAGAAGCAGGCCACCCATCTGCCCAAGACCAAGCTCCCTGGCAGGGCATCGCTCAGTACCAGGGCAGGGCGTTGGGAGGTTCCATAGAAGTCAACAATCAGGTAAATCCTCACTGAGATTTATGAACGACGTTCAGCGTTTCTTTTTTTTCTTCTTTTTTCTTCAGATTTGGTGACTGTGACTCACATGTGTGACTTGTGTTTAGATGGGTGTAAACAAGAGAGCCCAAAGCCCTGTGACTGACTTTTGACTGGTTTATTGTTCTGTCAAGACTTTGTCTCCAAAATGATGCTCAGAAAATATTTTATTTTTAATATCATGTCTTTTTTTTTAAATTTAAAAGCCGGTCTAAGTACTGAATAAATACTGTGAAAAGTATAGAAACACTCAATCCATGGAGAAATACACACAGCCCGTACCCAAAAACTGTGCCTTTAAATGGGTCGCCATGGTTACTGTGTGGTTGTGACTTCACATTTAGAATATTTACGTTTATTACCAATACAAGTTTCAGCTTAAACATTCTAAATGTGTCCCCGTTTATTTCCAGTTATCATTGTATGTGAATGACATCAGCTGACAGGAAGTAAACATGGTCCAACCTGTCGCCCTGCAACGCAATTCTATTTAGTCTAGAATTAGTCTCGAATCTAGTTTCAGACCGAGGGTGAATACAGGAATATTCAGACAGACATCATGAGAGAAATAATGTGTTTTTTGAACATTAAAGCATGTAAACATGTTCTAGTAGACACCAAAAACAACAAGTATTAACCTGGAAATTAGCATATGTCCCCTTTAACCCAGTGGTTTAAAAATGTGCACACTGGAGACTTTGTGTGAACCAGTAAAATGTAAAATTGTGGTTCCGAGTTTGTGGTTTCGTGTGACTGGAGCCACATTTGCTACATTTGAAATAACTTGTGTCGAAACACAAAGAATTGGTTGTGCCAATAGGTAAAAGGAAAGAACTCTCAGTGTCTTCTGTCAGCGTGACTTTGTCTCTGTGCGTCCTCAGCTCCATGAGACTCTGCGGCGACGACAGGAAGAGATCGACTCCCTCCAGGAGAGGAACCTTTCCCTCAGGCAGCTGGCCAGCCGCGCAAAGCACCTCGCCTCGGTGCTCGAAGTAAGTAGAAGGCCGAGATAAAAGCACAGCCAAATACATACACGCATATTATTATTTAACCTAATGAATCCATCTGTATGTCTGTTGGTCTTCAGAAACTGATGACAGTCAGAGACCCACAGGTGAGGGAGCCAGCGATGCCCTGCGGCGACAAAACGTCCCTGAGTCCCTGTAAGCGGCAGCGGCTCGACGAAGGATACGAAACGGAGCCCTCCGACTCAGTGGAGGACATGCTGAGGGACATCAGCACGCGCTGCAACGCCGTCCTACACGGCGCCAATGCCAGGACGAGACCGCCGCGGGAACCAGACACCATACGCATGCACGGCGCATTCTCAGGCCTGCAGACTTCTTTCTCCAGCAGCTCGGCTGCGGACGGAGCAGAGCCCGATGAGAGCGTCTCGTCCTTCAGGACTTGTGTCCGAGAACACTGCACCATGAGGACTCGGGTGTTTCCTCATGGACGGGCCTTCACCTCCAGGACACAGCGAGGGGGGTACCGCTTCCGCTGGGTTCCCGACCACAGCTGAAACCGGGGCTTTGCGAATGCAAAGCTGGATCCCTCTGTGATTTGGGAGGAAATGTGGGTGGGCAGCGGTTGTTAATGCTTAACATACAAATCTATAGGGAGATCTGTAAATGATTAATTAAATCAGTCAGAGGTGGCGCCTGACAAAAGGAAATGACACTGCCACTTTTCAATGTGTTTCTGTTTACAGGCCTCGAAATGTAATGATCCAGCCAAACAATGGGGCACCGTCGGGTTTATCTTCACACCGCAACGATATGATTTGTCTTGGGGAAAATAAAAGTTATGTTTTGTAAAGCTGTGTTGGAGTGCTTTTTGTTAAGAGGTGGTGTTTGAGCAAACGGAAAGAAACGTTTCTTGTTTGCAGCATCGAAACAAATGTGACCCCCGTGACCTGACTTTAACAAGCGGGGACTTCCTTCCCTTTTGTCTCTGTCTGAGTGACTGTGTGGTCTGAACAAGGGGCACTGAGTCATGATGCATTGCAGCCAACATCCTTGTTTAGATCCTTGGTTTTGGAAATTGAAATAGATGTTTTTCCCCCCGGGTTGCATGATTTCCTGCTATTCTAAACCAAAACACTTAAGCTGTATAAGCAGTGAAAGAAAGCATATTTCCCCAAAAACTTATTTTTTAAAAACCTGGTAGAAGAAGAAACCAAAACAGAAGAAGAGATTAACTTATTTCAAGAGGATGTGACCTTCTGACCTTTGTGTTTCTGTCACGTAATCTTCCTTCTACCTCCCTGTTGAGGGCTTTAGCTGTAAAACGGTGGGTTTGTGTGAGGCGGACTGGTCCAGGGGACAATGTGGAACCTCAGGTGGGACACCTGTTTAAACTCCCTAAAACTGTATCTATCTATCTATCTATCTTTTATTCATACTCCAAAACCTGGTAACTCAGTAAATGGGCCACCAAAATGAAAAGTTGTTTAGTCACTGTGAGAATGGTACTGGTCAAAATATTTAGATGTTTTTTTTACTTCGGCAGTCAACCCGGTAATGTTTCTCATATACAAATCTCTGTTTTGCTCTGCTTTTTTTGTTGTAAGTGACTGCTTACTGTATTGTACAAGAATGTCAGTTTTGTCTAGATGAACACTATGGTGTATTGCACTGAGCTTTTTAGATTTCCACTTCAACAGTATGTCAAAGATTACGAGGAAAAGTTAATACTCATACACAAAAAAAATGGTATGCACATTTGTACAGTAAATGTATTTGTGTAGCAATGTACCGTAAACAGAGACGTCTCAGTGAGCCACAAAAAATATGCCACAAAATGACATCCATGCCAAAAAAAAGCTCCCTGAAGAATAAAACGAATAGCTTATCACAGTACGTATACCACAGACTAATGTAACTTACATGTATGTCTGACAGATTCTGATCATTTCGCATGTGATGGCTCAATGATGAGGAAATGCTTAGAAGCAGCGAAGAGCGTGACAATTTTACAAAGACGCAGCTCATCTTTTGATCAGTAGGACACGTTCAAGTGCTCATCGTGCAAATTGTGGACAATTGTGCTCTTTTGCACGAGTGACAAAACAAAATCTGCTTGAATAAATGAGAAATTCAAAATCTGTCTTGAACAACAAACTAAATGTTCAGAGCTTTGAACTCTGCATGAAACTGTAAGTAAAAGTACACAAAAATATCAGTGCAGAATCATATGATATTGGATTGTAAATATTGATGCATTTATGCACATATTATGTGCTTACAAAGGACATGCTATTTTTTTTTATTGTATATATTTGTATATATATATATATATATATTTATTTATTTATTTATTTATTATTATTTCTGCTGGGTAGCTTGGGAATTTCAGGATCAATAAAGGGTTATATTATCCAACAATAATACAATTTATTTGTACTATTGAATTTTTATATCGCAAAGTAACTCATGTAAAAAGCAATTTTTTTCCATCTAGAACTACAACGTGATAAGTAAGCTAAGGTAACTTTCCATCTCTGACGGGCACCAAACGTGACCCCCGCAGCCGTCAACGACTTAACTTCCTGCTGCCAACGTATAAATCAAACAGGACGCTTTGTTTGTCGACCCTCGTGGAACCGCACAAACCTTCACAGCCAGGCGCGCCTCGAGACACTTTTACTGCAAACAAATCCGTTTTGTCACCGAGAGCTGAGCTGCTCGTGACACATTTGACCGGTTAAGCTACCGCCAAACAGCGGGGGACAATGCGGGAGGGAGGGGGAGGAAAACACAGACACAATGAGTTTCTAAGGTGACTAAAGCCAAACCTGGAGGGAGGCTGCAAACCAGACAGAGCCCCGCGGGAAAACAAAGAAAAGAAAAAAACAATCATTAGTCCATGTGGAGTGATGCTGTAATGGAGGTGCAAAGACCTCTGGGTAAATATCACTTACACAGAGTTAAGATTTTATTTTAGCATTTTTTCTTATTCAAGTGAGACTTTATATAAGGGACTATTGTACAATAATGTAAGCAATAAAATATTTTTTAAGTAATAAAATGAGGACAACATGAGGTGTATAGGACGATTAAGACAAATGGTGCACAAAAAAGATGCTACAAATGCCTATAAATCATTAACAGCACAGAGACACAATAATTAAACAGCCTACCAGCCTAATTACCTGCTTATAACGACAAAGTCACGAGACAATTCGGAGAAGACCTACATAGTCTACCTTTATTAATAACTAATAACCTGCCACAACTTTATTATGCATTATGGCCCTTTGTTGTGACTAAACTGGCCGCTGAAGGGGCTCTCTGATGGGAGCACGTGTCTGCATGCTTGCGTGTCATTGAGAGCACGCACCTGTCGCACAGTTCCAGGCTCGAGCTCGTGGTGAGCGAGCGCATATGGACGTGGCAGGTGGCGAGAACGTGCGCCGCTCGCGCCGTTCGGCCCATTTAGCGCCTGAGGAGAGCTCGTCATTAAAACAGGCGCGGACTGTTCCCGCAAAACGAGTGTCGAAGAGCACTCACGAGATTATCCGAAAATACTTATGAAATGTAATGTCTTTTGTTTCTATGGTGTTGGTGTGTTTGTTGACTTTTTATATTTATTGTGAAAGTTGTTTTATTTTATCAAAGTAATATTTTATTATCATTATAATCTCAGTTTAGTTTATTAATATATTGTAGGCTATAGTTAACATGTTAAATGAAATAGTTTTGCTTAAAATCCTCGAATTGATTTATTTTGTATAATTTCAGTTTAGTTGTTAATACAAATATTTTATTTAATAACTCAAATTAAATTAGAAAACTGTAGAACGTTTACCTGATAGGGCAATATTTTGTTTACATCATGTATAATCTGACAAAAATCAATATGCACTGCTGCTATGATGTATTGCAATTTATTATAATTCTGTATGTTTTGTCTATGATTGTAATGTATTTTTTCTCCCTATTATTGAAGGAACTCTTAAACTATAATCATCATTATTAATCTTTAGAACAACATTTTCTTCAGCCAAACGACAGAGACTAATAGATGCGAGTCTGGCAGTTCAATGATACAGCGCGTGTAGACTGGTAGCCTACTATACGTCTTGTCCTTGTCTGGGTCATTCCCTGATAACATGTTGCCGCCTTCACCTTTAAAACATTACCGCGTTGCTCTTTTTTTATTGTATATATTTGTTTCCAGTAGAAACCAGGACGCGGAGGGAATCTCAGTAAACAGGTCTACTTCATTAAAAAAAAAAAAAAGTCCAACCTATAAGCACCAATAGCAGAGCAGATGACGGGACTTCCCGCTCCACCGTCCGCCCGGAGGAGAGTATTTAGGGAGCGGAGTCCGTCCGGGAGAGCAGACTACAGGTGCACCGAGCATGACTGCGACCTCAGACGGGCGGAGAGGGAAGGAGAACGGGGCTTTACTCAAGTGAAGATGAAACTTACAGGTGGACCATCAATCAGGTGGACTGGGTGAGTCATTTATAAATTGTCGTTACAAAAAAAAAAAAAATTGCTTTATAGGTATTTATCATTATGAGCTGCTGCTGCTGCTACCAAGACAACCACTTTAATCTAAACACATGGCTGTGTCTCTTTGGTACAAACAAGTGAGCTTATTCAACTGTTTACACTTTCATTCAAACAGCACATATTAATAGGCCACTCATTATGACATCAGTACAAATAATTTTCAAATTAGAGGTCTTAGTTTAGCCGATAAGAAAGTCGTTTTTGGTGCGATAATGAGCAGCACTTTGACTAAGGTATTTTATTGTTTTTATATAACCAGGACAATATGAGGAGAATGCTGAGAGATGTTGTAGGGAAGAGAAGACACTGCCCCTTCAAGGTAAGGGTACATCCGTATCAAAGGGTTAATTGTAGTGGCCTCCTTCTCCCAGTCTGGCCTCTGAAGGTGGTGACAGTGTGGCAGTGTACTGCTGCTGTGCTATCTGATGGACAGCTGTCAGCTGCACTCCTCACTGCTGCTACCGACTGACCTCGGACACCCTGCCGCTTATCACTCACCTGAGAAATAAAGACTCAACAGTCGGATAAAGTTTGGAGGGGAATGAACGAGGAAAGCATTAAAGGGACAGTTCACCCCACATTCAGAAATAAAAAATGTTTTCCCTCTTACCTGTAGCGCCAGTGTCATCAACATTGTCGGGTCATGATTTTCTGGAAAGACGTTGCTGTGGTGACTCACACCAAAACAATCTAGCTTGATACATAGTACGACAGGTAAGAAGAAAAGTTTTCATGTTGGACGTTCAGCTCGACAGTCAAATCCATTCATTTGCATACAGGCCTGTAAACGGTGGCTGGTTGGGAGGCAGTGTAATGTTAGCTGATGTTTGTTGTGCCAGCTCACTCTGCTCTGCTACCTAAACAGTTACATTTGACTCTACAGTTATTACTCCCCCCCCCCGGATGCTCAGACTCCTGCGCTTTATGGTGCATCAGGAGATGCGAGCGACCGGAAGTTCATTTTTGAAGTTGTCCAATTTAGGCAGCTGGTGTTATTTTCAAATGTTTGAGCTTCTGGTATAGCAAAGAGCTTTTTTAAAAAACAGCCTGATGTTCTTCAGCTCTCTCCTCTTGTGGGTGGCTGGTAGGCAGTGTCTTGTTAGCTGGTTGATTCTGTGTGCCAGCTTACCTGCTGCTGCCCTCCAACAGTCCATCTAAATCCACAAACCAGGAGACTCCTCAGCTAACGTGTACTTCTACGTGTTAAAAAATACAAAATAAGGCAGGTTGTACACAGCCGACAACCTTCTGTTCTGCCGAGTGAAGCCGATGCAGAAATGTCTTAAACCTGCATTCTCTCTACTGACCAGCAGGGGGCGACTCCTCTGGTTTCAAAAATAAGTCAGATTGTATAGAAGTCTATGAGAAAATGACTACTTCTCTTGTTAAACATTGTAAACATGAGTTTATGGTCTCAATCTCTACTTGCAAGTCTTCTTCAATACAGCATGATGTTCATTTAGTAAATGATGGTCCATTTAGAGTCAACTGGGCTTACTGTGATTGACAGGTCGCTACCACTACCTCTTTTTGGCAACTAGTCATCAGTCTTTTCAAATATTCAAACTGAGAGGTGACACTGTAATAACTGTGTTAGAAACGATGTCGAATAGCAAAAACAAAAATTGTTGCATCAACAGTTAATTCAGCTCTTGGTATTGTTCTAGCTTTTAAACCCTGAACAAAAAGATCCTAAGCTAAATCAAGTGATCATGACTGAATTTTATTGTTGGATGGATGTTTCACAATATGCCGGGCTCAAATAAGTCAAAGTGGGCTAAAAAGGTTTATGCTCCACCATAACAAAGTTTAATGTAAACATTAGAGAGAGATGGTTCAAAGAAGACACTACGCCAAACTAATCATTTGTAAAAAACAACAAAAAAAACACTGTGATGGCTGAACAATCCTTCAGCTGCAGCAGTGGTCATGGTAAGGAATGTCCATCATCAATATTAACCGCAGGATGGTCCCCCCTCCCCCACACACAAAGACACACTTTGTGAATGACTTGAAGTGGATCTTTTCCTCCTGCATGTTTCACCCAACCTCGCTTGCTGTAACACTTCAGAGTTCAGTCATGTCCTTGCTGCTAAAAAGACACACACACATATTCACGCAGATGTGTGTCCGGTATGTTGTCGGACCATCATAGCTCCACCCGTTTCTTCAGGATGATTTCTCGCACCAACGCCGTGGCCTCTCGTCGAACGCTCTCGGCGGGCTCGTCCGTTCGCCAGAAGCGGACCACCGTCCCCTCTGGATTCACCAGGAACTTCCAGAAGTTCCACTTGGGGGTTTTCTGCATCGAATCTGAAAACGCAGCACGTTGACAACACATTAACGGTGCACGTAACGACCTGAATGGATTATTGATAGATTATTGTCGTAGCATTTTCAATTTTTTGCATTTGTAGGTAATGTTTAGGTCATATAAATACATATTTTTTTGTTACTCTCTAATAAGCGTGTGATATAGATCAAATGTACACTGAGATATAGTGTATTTCCCTGGAAGGATAATTGGAAACTGTTGGGATGAAATCACCAGATGTAGCGGTCAATTTAACACAACATCTGGTGACTCAATTCAAGATACTTCCTCAAATTGATGGCAAAAAAAAAGATAATAAAGTGACAGCTACCGCAATACAAACGGTGTGAAAAACGAGGGTACGCATCGTCATGATGGCGATATAACTGATTCCATTCACACCCTTTACATCACCATGGTTCACAACAGAAGAGAGAAAACTGTAATTCCTGAAGACGTTGTTGGTGTGCAATCAGCAGCTGCCACACTGTGATAAAAAATAATGTTATTTCAGCAGAGACGTAAGGCGTTAAATTGAGATGTCGCACCAAAACTAGATAGCGCTCACAGTTATAAACCTACGTTTAAACCGAGGTGCATTCACTTTGTTTACATTTTTATATTTTGAAGAACCTCAGAAGCTCACTGACGAGTTCTCCAGATGTTATTTTCAGACGCCTGTCCATCCATATACAGGGAACCAATTTTAAAAACACATGATTTAAGTTAGTTTTTTTCCCCTCTGAGGAAGCATAAATATGTATTTTATATATCGGTGTATGTTTTGTTTGGGACATGACAAGTATTTCTGGAAAGCAGGTGTTAGTAGAAACCGGTTTTATCATGTCAAATATCAAACATTTACTAGTAACAGCTTCACAGATGCAAATACTTTTTCGTTATAAATTAATTACTATTGATACCAGATTTGATCATAAAAAAATAACAGGTATTTGTTGTTGCAGCGCTGTTGGAAGATGTGGCGCAGCAGAAGTTTGGTCCAGACGGCACTTCCTGCCAGACAGCTGTTCAAGTTCAGCCATGAATACATCAGTGATCACTTTAAATTCAATAGCAGCGACGTTAATCACAGTGATGGTGTCTCTATTTGTGGTTAGATACCAACCTGTGAGGAATTTAAAGGCCGGGTCCGCCTCCGAGCCCATGATTTTGATCCTGCTGAAGAACGGGAAGGTGACGCCATAGGTGGACTTGGCGAACGCTTCGATATCCCGGCTGGTCCCGGTCTCGGTGTCCCCAAACTGACCGCACGGGAAGGCCAGGACGTTGAAGTGAGAGGTGCCCAGCTCCCGGTGGAGCTCCTGCAGGGACACGTAGTTGGCTTCCGTCTGCTCGCAGTGGCTCGCCACGTTTACAACCAAAGACGCCTGTAAAAGAGGGGGAGACACGGGGTGTCGTGTGTAACGTTACGCCATAAGAAGTACGCCTTATATGCAATGAAACACCAGCTGAACTGACGCCGGGTGACTTTTAAAAAGTTTGCACGTATATCCTCCCTAAACTGAAACGACGGGTGATGATGTGGACTCACTTTTCCTCGGTACTTCTCCAGAGACACCGTCCTCCCCTTTGCGTCCTTCACCTCGAACGAATAAAAGTCCGTCGGTTTCCTCGGCTTCAACTGAGTCTGCAGGAGGAACAAACAGCCGACGCCGACTGTCATGCTCACCAGGACCGTCAACGTCTTCGCTTTCGGGTTGGAGGACTTAGTAGGGTAGCCCCCTAAGGCCTCCATCTTGGAGGGGGAAGGGGGGGGGGGGGGGGGCGGTGGAATAGTGAACCGTGGACCGATATGCGGGCGCCTGCATAAAGTCCTGGAGCTCAGCTAAAGTTAGCGCGAACACTACGGCAATACCGGAAGCTGGGCGCGAGACTTCCTCCAAAATAAGAAGAAAGTCAAAAGTTTAGAACTCTCAAAAGCCTGCTATGTTTTCGAGTTTAAATGCTTTAAGGGCACACTCAATACTTGGGTCATGTTTCTGAGTGGAGTAATTCAGTTAAATATGAAATATGTTCATGATGACATTACACCCCTTTATATCTAGAATCTAATTTCTCAAATTAATTCCGGTACAAAACGTGTGCTGCTGTATTGTGTAGGCAGGCGACAACTTCTAGTTCTGCCGAGTGAAGCCGATGTGGAAGTGTCTTAAAACTTGCAATCTCTCTACTGACCAGCAGGGGGCGACTCCTCTGTCTTCAAAAAGAAGTGTGATTGTATAGAAGTCTATGAGAAAGTGACTCTACTTCTCACTTGATTTATTACATCAGTAAACATCGTAAACATGAGTTTATGGTCTCAATCTCTAGTTTCAAGTTTTCTTCAATACAGCATGATGTTCATTTAGTAAATTATGGTCCATTTAGAGTCAAATAGACAATAAAGCAAGGTATGCTTTAGGGCGGGCTTACTGTGATTGACAGGTCGCTGCCATTACCAGAGACGGAAACAATTTCTCTACGTTACTGCTTCACATTCCAAATATGGTAACTTCCGTTTATCGGTTGCAAAAAAACCAACATGAGGCTCCACAACAACAGTCCACAAACCAATGGGTGACGTCATAATGTCCTATGTCCACTTCTTAAATACAGCCTATATTTGTAGGCTTACAGTTTAACCTGGAATATGAAATGTGAATGCATTTCATCTGCCTTAACTCATCTTTTAACACACAATTGTTCATATGGTTCAATCTTGCCGTATTTATACCTGCTTACAAAAAAGCTAAAAAACAATTTTAGCAATTTTGTGGTCAGAAACCAATAGCCTAGTCTTCATTTGGTCAGATTCATTCAAAGAGAACTGGTAAAATAAAATTAGACGTTTCAGTTGGTTGCAATTTAAAACCTCACCGCTGGATATTGCTAAATACTGCACCTTTAATATCAAGCTGTTGGACTGGAACCCTAAAAAGGAAAAAAATAAAAAAATAAATAAAAAAAGGCAATTACAATGCTTTTGCTTTGAAAGTCTTAACCGGAAGCTTTACTTGCTTACTTGCTATTAGTGGAGTTGTGTGTTTTGAAATTTGTAGAGGTGTGAATTTTGAGTCCGTTTTCAGTATTCTGAGATTATTGTGACTTCCTGTAATTTCTGTTTTAATGATTCATTGCTTTTTTTTTTTTTTTCCTCTCAGGGACAAAATGAGGCCCATCGCGTCTCGTACAAGCGGTTCAAGAGGCGGATCATCCAGAGGAGCGGCAGCGAGGGTCCAGCTGCGAGTACACCGCTGGCCACGTGGCAGCAGTGTGAGCCCAGCTTTGAGCTCGACACGGTCCGCCAGAGACTGGAGCTGGATTCTCCACCGAGACACCGTGAACCAGCACGGAGAGGCCCGCACCGAGGTATTATGTGAACCTGTGATATTGATCTCCCTCACTCACAATAGTTAAATCATCAAAATCATCACGTGAGATCAGGAGGGAATTGACCCAAACCTTTTTGTGATCACTCCAAATTCTTTACTATTTTTTTTGGAGAAGTATAGCTACATGGAAGAAAATACTTCAATCAATGTTTTGTTCTTTGCCACAATTTAACTGTACAAAGACACAGATTGTCTGCTCATTGTTTTCCACCATCACATTTTTACTTCCTCCCAGAAGTATTTGGGCATCTGAAATTCAACATTATTATCTCAGGTGGTATGAAGGAATTCAAGTTCCACCTGTATAATATGTACGAGTTCTGAAAATGGCATATTAAATGGTCTGTATTTTTACCACATTATATTACAGTTTTCTGATTTATAAAATCTGTGTTATGGACGTGTCGATGCATTTTGTTTCCTGCAGCGTGCGTCAAGTGTTACACCTAAGTGTTGCATATCACAGTGTTGCAGAGTAACAAATGTACGGTTTAACTGTAAAATACAGTGCCTCAGATATCCAAAAATATGTCTTTTTGGGAATAAATGGCCCCCCCAAATTCAATATCAGTCAAAGTGTTGGAGAGATTTTGTTTGTTGATGTTAGCCTTCTAAACAACAATAGAGCCAAGCCACAAACCCTCATGTGTCCATTCCCTGTCCTCTTCACCACTATGTCCAGCCGTCTCGCTGTGAGGATTCATTGCAGCTTTGTGACATAATGTTTTCTGTGATATCATCTCTCCTAATCAGAGTCAGAGAACACACCACGCACCTTCACTGCCGAGGGACGGCCCGCCACAGAAAATGCCCCAGAACAGGTCTGTCTACAAAGTATTAGACTCTCATCTGCAGACTGTCTTTTATTTATCACACAGTCCTATCAATGATAATGTTGAAAAGTTGGTGACAAGACAGAACTCAGAACAACGGATCTGGTTTCAGTTTTTTCTTCAGGTTCAAATGGCAGAGAAACATGTTTCAATATGGTGCAGTGTTTTTGATTGGGTTTATTAAATGAAAGATTACTTGAATAAGAAAAGCTGTGAGCTCACTTAAAGTTGCTTTACGCAAGATCGGGAGCATTCTGATCGCCTACAGTGCCCCTTTAAGCTAAAAATAAAAAATATTATGCAGTTATGAATAACACCAGTTATGAATAACACCAGTTATGAAATGGAAATTAATTTAAACATCATGTAAAAGACTATATCTTCTTCTTTTGCAGGGATGGGTGTGGAGAGCTGCGGTTCCAGAAGGTGGAGGTGCACTACCTGCCGGTACAGCATGTTTCCTTTTTTTACTTCCACTCCACTGGGTCAAACAATCTGCAGAAATGTTTTCAAGCAACAGAGACGGCCTGAGGACCGTGGGCGGTCTATGTTTATGGTGTATTATTACATTAGATTTAGTCCATCTTGTGAAGCTTATGGAGTGTGTTTAGTGGTTTTATGAAGGTGTTTTTCAATTTTTTTCATTTTAGTTTCAGTGAATGAATCAACAGTAAACCAAAGATGCATTGCTTTCGGATGTGAAACTTTGTGCATGTGTTGTAACTGTGTTTTGTGTAATATATTTTTTTCCACGATAGATTCTGATGAGAGAAGACATGCTCTGCAGCCGTTTGCTCTCTTGGACAAAACTTCCATGAGTCAGCGGGGAAAGTCGGTGATGAAGTTGGCGGCACCGTCGCTGCTGAACGACTACTGTAAGAGAAGATACAAATCCTGAAAAAAACAATAAGGCTGGTCTTACTCTGCAATGGGGTTTTTTGGGTGGGGGGGTCAACAAAGTCTGTGTACACTCAACGACATTAATCTTTAAAAACAGGTCACAAATATACAGTTTCATTCTAATAAAAGGCTCCATCCTTTCATAAAACAACTGGACACCGTATAGTTTTTTAGCAAATGTTATATAAATTAGAGGAAATAGTGTATTTGTTGGGGGACTATTTTCAGCTGTGGATTAATAATGCTCTAGTTTGTTGTATGTGGGATAAACTGTTACACTACAGCTACTATTGAGAGCACTGAGGTCTCGTCCTCTGTATCTTTATTGCTTGTTCATTTGTGGGTTTTAGCAACTTGGGGAAAGTTTAAATTTTACAATTAAAACAAAATGTTTTTTATGAGTTTATTCCCGGATTTGTAGACTTAAGTTTGTTCTACTTTTAGGTCAACGAAACAATAAAGAATATTTATTCCCCAGAAGTTTATTTGTGGCACTATAGAGAAGGCTTGGAAAACAGGATTTAGAGCTTCAAGTTGGGGAATAAAACAACTACACAAATAAACA